TTCTTTCAAAGATTTGTATGCTTATTCTTTAATTAAAAATTTGTTACAGTTACTAAAAATATTTATTTTCTTAGATTTATAAAAAATGTAATCTCATTTAAAAAAAAGATATTTCTTATTAAATTAATTTTAATTTTATCTAAACACATAAAAATATACATAAAATAATTTTTTTTGTAATACATTAGAAAATTAATAAAAATTAATTAGTTATTAGATCTCAAAGGTTTAATGAAGAGATATTACCTATAAAAAAATACCTGAAATAAGAGTAAAAAAAATTAAATAATTAATTGAAAAATCATAAAGATTAATATAAATTGAAATGATTAATATTAATTATGAAATTATATTATAAAATTATTTATTTTTATATAAATAATGTTCAAATGCATTAGCCATATTAAAAAGAAAATATTATGTAAAATAATGTTAAATTTATAAATATTCTTTGTGATTTCTAGATGTTAATACAATTTAAATATTTAAAATAACAGAATGGGTATTTTTTTGTTTTTTTTATACAAAATCTGACCATAAACATAAATCTAGAATAAAGTATATTTTTATGTTTTCATAAAAAGTTAATAAATAATTTTTATTTTCAGTCAATTAGTAAATACAAAAATTTAAATAAATATATTTAAAGCAATTAAATTAATAATAAAATTTAAGTAATTATTTCTTTCAAAATTTAAAGCTTGTGTTCTATTTAAACAAATAGTATGGGTGAATCTCTATCTTTAGTATTAAATTATTTTGTTTAAATGATAAGAATCATCAAAAAAATATGAAATTTTTCAAACATATTGGAAATAATTTGTTAATAAATTAAAAAATTGCTAGCACTTAATATAATAATTAAACAATTTTTTTTTTGTTTCTTTCTATATCTAATTTTTATTTCTTTTTTTATTATAGTATTTAGAAGTAAATAGATTGTCTTCAAAAGAGGAATATATGCATTTTTTATTCATTAATTTTCTTTTTAAAACTTCACTAAATATAACAAAATGTTTAATTGACACAAGAGGAGTATTTTAAAAAAACAGCTATAAATTCACATAGAATCTAAATAATAACATTTATTATTTTGGCTATGCTTCAAAGTGCAAAAAGAAACTAAAAAACAGATAGTTAAATTCTCTAAATAATTATTTGATATTATTAGATCTAAAAGTTGCTTAATTCTATTTAATAGACATTCTATTTCATTCTCATTAATATGTTAAACAGATTTTTTTCCCTTTTTTAAGTCTAAAAGTCAATATTTAAATTTTTATTTCTCTATTTTTCATTTTTTCCTTTTTTCAGTAAATTTAGAAATAAAGTACTCATGTAATTATGAATTTTCAAACATTTTATTTATAATCTTTCTTTTGTATTCTTTTTCAAAAATTTCTAAGCTATTTTTATTACACTTAAAACAAATTCTGAAAATGTTGAATTAAAATTTTATTAAGTGAATTTAATCCTATAACTTTTCAATTAATTCTAAAAATAAATCAACAAAATTTCTTTCACATCCTCCATTTTCAAAATAGTTAAACATTAATCTTATGTTGGTTGATAGACTTTAGTTAGGAAAAATTTTTGATGCCTTTGTAAATATTCTTTTGATATCTTTTACATCCTGAGTTCCAATAAAATTATAGTTGATGTATATCTAGTTTATGCATTGATTAGGAGCAGCTTTACAAAGCTTTATTAATTGTTATTTAAAGATCTGATATCATGTATGAGTGAATTAGGCTTAAATTCTTTGATATATTTACATACAAAAGGAACCACTACTTTAGTTTTTATGAAATAAGATAGTTATCTTTTTTAGCTATTTCTTTTTTTATTTAAATGATTTATATTTAAAATCAATAATTTATAATTTATTTAGCAAATTTAAAAGAGAGTAATTGTACTGGCTAATCTAATTTAAGATCTCTTTAAACATAAATTTATGATAACATTGCTTATACACTTTTCATTTATGATTCATTTTTACTTTTAGCCATTATTTAATTTGTTAAAAAATTTTTTAAGTGAAGAAAGCGTTTTTAATTGGGCATGAATCTCTGGTTTGGTATGGTTTGGTTTTGATTTATTTATTTGATTAATTTTAAAATCTAATCAAACATTAAGTTTAAGTCTTGCTTGATAAAAATGTTAAAAATTGAATTAAATAGTAAATATTCAATTTTTTCTTTTAAAAAAGTATGATTTACATGAGCTATCTTTCTTTTCTTCAGTAAATTAATCTTCATTTTATTCTAAATCAAGGCTTTAATGCACTAAATTATTAAAATTTTTTTGAAAATATTATTCCTTTTATCTTAGATTTCATGGTAATTATAGTCTGAATTTTTAACTACCTTGATACTATGAGCAAAGGTGAATTTTTATTTCTAATATTCAGGTTATTTTTTATATAGATGAGAAAATTACTTTTGTTTTTTTGCATTTTTTAAAGGTAATAATAAATCGATCTTTGAATATTTTTTTCAATTTTCTCTGTTATTTTTTAAAAAATATGTTACTTAGTTAGAATAAATTTTTTCATTTGATAATATTAAGAATTTTTTATCAATTTAATTATTATTTTATGAGAAAAATTTAAAAAATAATTTAAATACATACCAGTAAATTCAAAAAGAAAAATTAGATATTTTTTTATCTCTAAAATAATAATAGCCTTTTTAAATATTTTTCATATAAATTAATTAAAACCTTATCTAATGTAGATAAATAAAATTATTACATTTGTAACAAATATTAAAAAATCATTCTAAAAATATAATCCAAAGTTTAATTTCCATTTATTAAGCAACTAGATAAATATAAACATGTAGAAGATATAAATTTTAAATTAGAAATTCTAAAAAAAAAAAGAAATGTTATAATTGTATAAACTATAAAAAAATATATACTAAACAGTATTTATAATTATTGATTACTGATTTATTATTTGAATGATATTTGAAGTACTTAAGACTTTTAACTAAAATTTGAGATTTAATTTTACTAAATTTTAATAAACAAAAATAAAAAAAAATATAATTGCTTTCATTTTATGTGATTTTTTAAACAAACATAAACACTAAAGAAGGAAATTCAATAAATTTTTTGAGACTTAAAATTAGAAACTAATTTTATTTATTCCTAATTCTAAACATAGATGCGTTAAAGGTAATTATTTGAATATTGATACAAATTTTGCACGTATAATCACAAAAAAGGTTTGACACTTTTTTAAATAATTTTTGATTTTATAAATTGATCATATTCATTTATTTTTTATTGTTTACTTTTAAGAATACTATTTAGAATCTTTCAAAATAAAAAAAAAAATATTTGATGATTAAATTACTTTATAAAAATAAAAAAATAAAAAATAATCAGTCATAAATATGTAATCTCAAATAAATGTTAATTATTAGCTAATATATTAGTTTAAATATTATTAACACTATAATTAAAAGAATCTTGTCATTTTTTGTCATGGCAGGTTTTTTTAATAATATATTTATTAAATACACTCATTATTTAAAAAAAAAAATTAAGATTATATTAACAAACAAACTTTAATTTCTTTTATTACACTAATCTTCTTTAGATTCTAGTTTAAGGTTTTTACAATACAGATTATTTATATTTTTCTTAAAAATATTAATCTCTCTTTCTTAAAACATGATAATTATTGTATCCTTCTCTTGTACATTATAATTTATTTGTAACAAAGATCAAATTAATATTAAAAAATACAATTACTGTCAGAATAAATTTTTTGATTTTGTATTACTAAGAATTTGTAATCAAGTTAATTATTATTTTTTCAGGAAAAGTTTTTAACTCATATAAATCCTAGTAATTCCATTTTTTTATTTTTTATTTGCTTTATTAAAATGAAAAATAATATATTTTTAATTTCCAAAACACTAAAATATTTTTTAAATATTTTACACATAAATGAATTAATTCCTTATTTAATGTATAGAAATGAAATTATTACACTTGTTACAAATATTAATCAATCATGAAACTAAAAGTTTCATAGTAGACTTTATTGTCTTACCATTTTTGTTGATTTGAAATGAAGTTATGCTAAGCGATATTATAGATGCCATAGGAAGAAATTCTTTCGAAAAAAAGCAAAAATTCTAATAGAGAAGCAGTAATGATAATAATTCATAATTGAATTTCAATTTACTAGACATCAAGACAAATATAAAGATGTGGAGGTAATAAATTTTAAATTGGAAAATCTAAAAGAAATTCAAAAAAGAAAGAAATATTCTATAAAAACATGCAAGCTAAATAGTATTTAAATTATTTTTATTATAAAGAATGTATTTTAACAACAGTAAGAATAAGGACAATCATTATTGGTTTTAATAATATTTTTTAGAGCCTATTATATAATAAATAAGGGAAATTATAATCTAACCCGCCTTTTTTTACTCTTGACAACAGTTTTTATGTAATTAAAAAAATTTGATTTTAACACCCAAAACAAATAATCCCCACTAAAAATTTGAAAAAATATTAGATATTGTAAATGTTAATGAGTAATTAGATATTATATTGAATTTGTTACATTGATCTATTAAATTATTGTGACCAATACAAATTATTTTAAGAATTTAGTATATCTGTTAATAAATTAAGTTCTTAGATGAAACACAAATTTTTATCTTAATTTAATTTAATCTATCAATCAATCAACCAAACTTACTTTAGAATCTGAGACAAATTTACATTAAAATTTAGTAAATCAATTAAATAATTGGGGAAGTAACAATTATTTATCAGAATTAAATATATTAACTAACCAAGAGCTTAAAGTGAAAATACGTTTATTTCATATTTCTTTTTTAATGATTAAAGAATTTTTGGCGGTTTAATATATATCCAAAGGTCACAGATATATCTTAACTTGTGATTATTTGTATGGTAAATTGAGAATTTTTTTAATTGTATGTTAGTGTACCCAATTTCTTAAATATGCAATGAATTGTTTTACTGGATTCAACTTATACCATGGACTAATGAAAGACACTGCTCCAACATTAGCTCTAAGTTCCTATGTGGAATTTCAGATTAAGTTACTTGTAATGCAATCATAGTTACCTATTGGTTCTATTGGTTGTAGAAATAAAGTTAGTACCTCCTGTTCTATTAGCGGCAACTAAGATACTTATATAGATAAAAAAATTTCTGTGATTATACTGAAACTGGTGGTACTTGTGGTAGTGAATTTACAATCGGAGCGTTTATGGGCCAGAGGGGGTAAAAAAAACCACTATCTTGCCAATCTTTTCATCTCCAACTATTTCACTTGAAGACCTACATTTTCAGACTTTTTTAACAAATATATATTGTATTTCTAAACCACAACTCCAATTTCGCAAAATAGTTTTTAATCAAAATCTTCAATGCAAATTTTTTCAAAATACCCCCCTTGTTTCAAACTTACGACGTTTGCGCCAGGTCCCCCATATTATTATATATTCTATAAAAACATGCAAGCTAAATAGTATTTAAAATTATTTTTATTATAAAGAATTTATATTTCACAACAGTAAGAATAAGGACAACCATTATTGGTTTTAATAATATTTTTTAGAGCCTATTATATAATAGCTAAGGGAAATTATAATCTAACCCGCCTTTTTTTACTCTTAACAACAATTAATTAAATTTGATTTTAACACCCTAAACAAATAATCCCCACTAAAAATTCGAAAAAATATTAGATATTGTTAATTTTAATGATTAATTAGAAATTATATTCGATTTGTTACATTGATCTAATAAATTATTGTGGACAATACAAATTATTTTAAGAATTTATTTTATCTGTTAATAAATTAAATTCTTAGCTGAGACACAAATTTTTATCTTAATTTAATTTAATTAATCGACCAAACTTACTTTAGAATCTGAGACAAAATACATTAAAATTTAGTAAATCAATTAAATAATTGGGGAAGTAACAATTTTTTATCAGAATTAAATATATTAACTAACCAAGCACTTAAAGTGAAAATACGTTTATTTCATATTTCTTTTTTAATGATTAAAGAATTTTTGGTGGTTTAATATATATCCAAAGGTCACATACATTTCTTAACTAGTGATTATTTGTATGGTAAATTGAGAATTTTTTTAATTATATGTTTTAGTGTACTCAATTTCTTAAATATGCAATGAATTGTTTTACTGAATTCAGTTTATACCATGGACTAATGAAAGACACTGCTCCAACATTAGCTCTAAGTTCCTATGAGGAATTTCAGATTAAGTTACTTGTAATGCAATAATGGTTACCTATTGGTTCTATTGTTTGTAGAAATAAAGTTATAACCTCCTGTTCTATTAGTGGCAACTAAGATACTTAAACAGATAAAAAAATTTCTGTGATTATACTGAAACTGGTGGTACTTGTGGTATTTAAAGTACTCCAAGTAATTTAGGTACTCAAAGTAATTCATGTACCCCGAGTAATTCAAATACACCAAGCACTTCATTTCAAATTCTTGCTATCAGTTTAATTACTATAATTACTTTAATTTGATTGGCTAAATATTATTTTTAAGTTAAAATTCAGTATTTGTGTATGGCACTTTTTTTTGGGTTAAAAAGATACTTTGGGAATGCCTTAATTAATGAGCATTTACAGTATATATTTTATTGATTTATCATAATTTTTTGATGAATTTAATTAATCAATTTGAATTTAAAGCTTTTGGCAAATTATGCAGCTAAAAATGGTTATACAAAATAATTAATTTATGTATTAATAATATAAATTTTAAGAGTCATTTTTTTATGTATATTTTACAGTCAAAGTTATAATTTATATGTAATTACAAACATTTATACCTTTTAATGCATTTTGAAGAATTAATTTGGTAACATATTGTTTATTTAAAAAATGGAAAACTCAAAGATTTCAACATTTTTATAGCCTAGAAACCTTTAGAATTAAACTCACAAATGCTAGTGCCGTAATGAACAATATACAATATAATTCCTAAATTAGGACCTAATTGAATTACCTTTTCAAATTTTTCTATTATTTTTTAAATTAGTACACTCTTGCCTTTGTTGTAGGCACATACTCTTCTTCGTATTGCTCATCTTCTTCTTAAACCTTTTCTAACTAAGATTGCTTTTACTTTCTCCTATAGGTGGCAAATAAAACATATACAAGGCATATCGTGATTTTATCCTATTGCTGCTTTAAGTTCGGAGTCTGTTCATCTAATAAAGAAGTGGCATTTGTTTTCAAAGTTTTGATTATCTAAGAATACTCATTACTAAAAGTTATTAATCTGATATTTAATATATTAACCTTCTTTATGTTAATAGAGTTAACTAAAAGTCTGGTTTAATTCTCTCTTCATAAATTCTATTTCTTAGTTATTTGTTAATTTAGAGTAATTCTACTTTAAAGCCTATCTAATATGCTGAATTCTGTAAGCATCAGTATAAAGTTATTTATCTTATTAAGCATGTTTTGCTATAATTTTTCATTACTTTCTTAAAAATGTATTTTCTACTACTTAATCTCTTTAAGTTAATCAATCAATTGACCAATAAACTCTATCTCTTTACTATATACCTTTTTATGCGAAACCTACTTTTCATTAAGGAAATCTTTGTTTGATTTTTATATAGCTTAATCAATCTAAAGGGTATTCTTCTATCTGATATTCATTTTTATCATTTATGTGTACAAATAATAAAAAATCTTTATAAACTATGAAGTAAATGCTCATATATTTTTAGCATATTTTCCTATTATTTTTCTCTTAATCTTTTAAAAAATGTTTGCTTAAACACACTCCTATAGTAATTACTAGTGTGTCTTTAACAAAAGCTACCTTCTTACTAAATTTATTGCATTTTTAAATCTACAATAACAACCATTTTTAATTTCTTAAAAATAAAATAAAAACTGAAGTATAGTGAAATTAAAAAATATTCTTTGTGTTTTCTAGATATAAAGTAAATGCAATTTTAATAATTAGAATAACAAAAAGGTATTTTTTTGTTTTTTATACAAAATCTAACCATAGACATAATTATAGAATAATAATATTTTGAAAAATAAATAAAATATTTTTATTTTGAGTTAACAAATAAATAAAAAAAATTAATTTAAATTTATCAAAAACTATATATAAAGTTGAAATTTGCCTTTCTTTAACATTTATCCACTTGAAATTGATTCTTTAATTTTGAAAAATAATCTGAATTATATGTAGGTCTTTGTTACAAATAATTCATTAATTTATTTTTAACTTTTTAAGATATTTCAATATTTCTTATTTGAAATTGAAAAAAAAATTACTAAGTTACAATTAAAAGTGAAAATTAAAATAACAATTTTTTCATTTTCTTAATTAAGAAGTGTTTACTTAGTGAATTAAATATTCATCATATATTAAATAATCAAACATCTCTATTTCTTATACATTATTTTATCCTAGTTCAGAGAAATTTATTACCACTAGGTAAGCAATTATTAATAGTTATTAATTGAGTTGTAGTTCATTTTGATAAACTAACAGCTTTAAATTTCAAAATGAGTCAAAAAGAAAATTAGATATTTTTTTATCTCTAAAATAAACATAAGTAACAAATATTAAAAGATCATTCTAAAAATATAACCCAAAGTGTAATTTTCATTTATTAAGCAGCTAGACAAATATACACATGTAGAGACTATAAATTTTAAATTAGAAATTCTAAAAGAAAAAGAAATAATGTAACTTTATAAACTATAAAAAATATACGCCAAACAGTATTTATAATTATTGATTACTTATTTTAATATGAAATTATATTTTTAAAGTGATAAACCTTAATTTATCATTATTTTACAATACAGATTATTTATCTTTTTCTTAAAAATATTAATCTCTTTTTCTTAAATTTCATGGTAATCATCGTATCCTTCTCTTGTAAAATATAATTTATTACATTTAATTTATTAGTAACAAGGATCAGATTAATATTAAAAAATACAATTACTGTAAGAATAAATTTTTGGATTTGTTATTACTAAGAATTTTTAATCAAGTTAATTATTATTTTATAAGGAAAAAGTTTTTTTTTAACTTATATAAATGCAATTAATTCCATTTTTTTACTTTTTATTTGCTTTATCAAAACGAAAAATTAGATATTTTTAATTTCCAAAACACTAAAATATTAATCAATCATGATACTATGAATTTCATAGTAGACTTTATTGTTATGCCATTCTTTTTGATTTGAAATGAATTATGCTTTGAGATGTATAGATACCATAGGAAGAAATTCTTTCTAAAAACAGTAAAGACTCTAATAGAGAAGCAGTAATGATAATAATTCATAATTATATTTCCATTTACTAAGCATCACGACAAATATAAAGATGTGGAGGTAATAAATTTTAAAATCTAAAAGAAATACAAAAAAGAAAGAAATGTTCTATGTAATTATATAAACTATAAAAACATGTAAGCTAAATATTATTTAAAATTATTTTTATAATAAAGAATGCATTTTAACAACAGTTAGAATAAAGACAGCATTTTTGGTTTTAATAATATTTTTTAGAGCCTTTTATATAATAGGTAAGGGAAATTATGATCCAACCCACCTTTTTTTACTCTTAACAAGAGTTTTTTTATTTTTTTTTTTATGTTTTGTTAATTAAGGAGGATAACAGTAAATTAAAATCGTTTTCAATCTTTTTATTTATTTTAGACAACAATATTCATAAAATACTCAAATTTTTTATTGACAATCTGGAGTATCTTAATTTTCTATGTACGATATATCTACAACAAAATTCTTATTAACATTTTTTGAATTTTTATTTTTAAGTATTAATTTTCTAATAGAAATATTTTAAATATCATATTATTAATTCTTATTTAATAATTTTGAATTTTTATTTTTAAGTATTAATTTTCTAATAGAAATATTTTAAATATCATATTATTAATTCTTATTTAATAATATAATAATATTTTTACATTAATTATTTAACCTTTTTAATTATATTTACTTTATTATTTTAATATTTAATAAAATACGAATTTTTGTGTTAAATATTAAATATATAACTAATAATTGTAATATAATCACTTATGCATAATTTAGATAATAATTTATCAATTTTATAACTAAATTTTTGTAATTAATTTAATTTCAAGATTTTAAAAAAAATTTAAAATCTAAATTTTTAAAATAATAATTTATTTTATAAATCTAATTTAGTTTTAGCTTACTTAAATTTAAATAACCATAATAATTTAATTTTAGATAAGTGGATTCAAATGTATTAAATAATCTAACTCATTATTTTTTAGAATGAAAACATGTAACCTACATATATTTCAATCTATATATTTAATTTATTTAGCTTTAATATCTATTTAAAGATTAATTATTTTAGACAGAAATAAATAAATATTAATTTAGTATTTATTCGAAAGCAATTATGCTTATAATTTAATTTAGTAGATCTTAGAATTCAAAAATATAATGTAAAAATATTAGATATTTATTAGTCAATAACTTTTTATTTATTAATCTATTTACTATATATTATTAAATTGGAGATATTTTTAAACCATATCTACTTATTGAATTAAATTAATTAATCTAATTAGAATGCAAAATTAAGTACTGTGGTCGTTATTTAAGAAGAGTCTTTTATATTAAGATTTAATAAGGATCATTTTTAACATTGATTTTTGAGAAATTTTTATAAAATAAAAATTTTAAAAGCACAATTTGGAAAAAAAATGGTTTTTAAATACAACAGAAATTGTGATTATTTTATACCAATACTTAGCTATTCAAAAAAAATAAACCTGTTTTAATAGTTTATTATTTTGAAAATATATTTTATGTAAAAAGCTTATTTTAAATAAATTTTTTTAGGAGGAATTAAAAGTAGGTTTAATAGCTAGCATTAAAATACTAAATGTAATAAATATTAATTATTTATTTTAATATTGTTTATTAATTAATGATTTAATTAATATTTATTTATATAATTTAATTGATTTTCAAACAATTTGTACTGGTTTATCTTGTTTAAATAATTGCTTTAATTTTTGTAAAGCAGATATTTCTTTGTTTCCATCCATATAAGCTACTATTTCTACGTTATTTTTCATATAATCAGTCACATCGGAATCAATATCCTTGCAATTTTCAGGTTAAAGCTAACACATCAAAAATCCACCTACATTAACCATGATTGTGGAGGCTTTTTTAGAGTAAAATAATCCACAAAAGACTTTATAAGGAGAATCAAGACAGACACTTAAAAATAATTGAGCAAGATTTTTACCAATATATTTATCTTGATATTCCTTTCTGACACCATAACCAGAACCAATAACTATGTCTCCTTTTTTATAAGGAATATCGGTAAGGGGTTGTATTAATTTTTTGTTAATCTTTTTTAGTATTTATAGATTTTTGGAAGTTGATGGAGAGGATTAGGATTCTACAAAGACAGTAAAGTCTTCAGCAAAAATAGAGCCAACAACTTTTGTGCTATCTACAGAGGTATCAATAGCTATGATTCTAATTACAGAGTTATTTATGAAGTCTTTAGATCCTTCTTCAATAGCAGATCTTCTCACTTAAAAGTCAGAGTAGATTGATCCTTCAATTAATCTTGATTCAACAACAGTCTCATAAGCAGATTAAAAATATTCATCTGAGTAGATTTAGTATCTGATACTGTTTTCTTCATGGAGTACAGTTCCAGGAGGATAGAAACTCATTTTTTAATTGTTAAATATTTTTGTTTTGTTTTTAGTAAATCAATAGTATTTTATTTTTTATTATTTATTATATTTTACTGACCAGCCAAAAAGTGATTTTTAAATTAAATTCAATCATATAATTTATGAATAATATTTGATAATAATATGAACTAATAAATAATTAGAATAAAATATAAGTTAATGGATTAATTTTTTTTGGTTTAAAAGTTTGCGTTATTAAAAAGTTAAATTATCTATGATTGAATTAGATTTTTGATTATGTAGGCTGAATTTAATTTAAATTGAATTTTAGATATGGATTTGAAATTATGAACATTTTAAATTTATGGATATTATTTGAATATAATTAATTACTGATTACCGCATATATTTTCGATGGCATAAAAAGTGTATACCTGATTTTGGCTTTAATTAAAATATTTATGGTAATTAATTTATGGGTATCGAAATTTAATTAATAAATGTTGGATTCTAATTTCTTTCAAAACAAATTCTGATAAAAAAAAACAATAATAATTGTAATGAGGATATACAAATAGCATATTTTAAATTATGAAAGAATTAACATTTAATATTAGATTTAGTATTGATTAATCTGTTTTTAAAGTATACTTGATTACTAAGTTTGTAATTTTTAAAAAATTATTCATTGAATGTAAAGTTGTTTGCAAGCAAATTTAAATTTTAAAATATGATATAAATCTTATTAAATTAATGATCTAATAGTCTAAATATTAGTTAAGAATTTATTAGGTTTTACAGTCAAAAAAATAGCTTGATTTAGGAATTATTTAATTATAAGTATTCAAATCATTCTTATTGTTATCTAAATATTTATTTATTTTTTTTAATAAAGTCCAGTTGCTAGATCATTTATTTAAGTTTGAATGATTTCCATATAACCATTAATTTAGGTACAAAAAAATCATTTTTAATTTTAATATTTTTTATAAATTTCCAAGAATTTATTGAGTTTTATTCATATATCTTTATATATCAATATAATAAATAATACTGAATTTTTGTTATAATAATAGCAGAAAAAAAATAAACATCAAAGATAAACGCAGTAATATTTTATTAAGGTAAGTAGATGCTTTATTTATAAAGAGGGTTCAAATTTTACTATCTTATTTTTTCAATATGTTTTGCCTACCATTCATTTTTTTAATCTAAAAAAATATTTCTGTTTGATGAAAGTTAATCTATAAAGAATTAATCAACCAAAAATAGGATTAAAATAATATAAAAATATTTTTATTCAAAAAATATGTTAAGGTTTTTTTTATACTGAGCTATGTTAAGTTTATAATTTTACTTTTCTTATTCGATAACTGAGTAGGTATCAAAAATATTGGCTTTTTAAAGTTAGTTACTTATTCTTATTTTAAGCTTTAATTGATGAATTATAGTTACCAATAAATCAAAATATCTTACCCTATTATAAATAAATAAATAGATAATAAGTACAAGAGTATTTTGCGTTGTGGTGTAATAATGTAATGATGTATTAAAGGCTAAATTAATAAATAATTAATAGCTGTTTAGTAGGATTTTTATGATCAATAAAACAATCAAATATTTTCTTATTAGAATTAAATATTTCTATTTATTTTTTTGCAATTAGTTTCCAAAAATTAACTAATACAAATTAATGAACCAAAATTTGTTTGTTTAAATCATGATTAGTAAATCCCCTATTGATATCAAATTTTTTGATAAATTTGAATAGACTTAACTTAAATTTGTTATAATAAATCTTATATTATAGTACGCAATTTATGCAATGGCTATAAATTTTCTATATACTAAATTCGCTTTGTTCTAATTTGTTTAAATTTAACAAAATTGTTTCTTAAATGTTTATTTACATTCCAAGTTTGTATTCATTAATAATATTCATTATTATAGCTTCCTTCTATAAATATTTACTCAAATACATCTACTTAATAGATAATGATAAGATTTGTCCATCATTCATTGCTCAACTAGTAATTTTGAAGATATAAATTATTTTTATAAATTATTTAAAAATATATAAATCTACAAAACTTAAACAAAAGCTTAATGATCGAAAATAATAATCTGTCAGACCATAAATAGCTGAATTTTTAAAAAAACTATAATTAATAACAATTGATCTTTGTTGTATATACTAATTTAATTATTTATTCACCTGGCTGTTAAATGTATATAAAACCATAATAAAAACGTTTTACTATATTTAATTTATTGATAATTAACCACAAAAAACTAAAAAATATTTACTTTATCTAGAAAAAATAATATTTTTTTACGAAAAATGTAAAAGATAATAAAAATTTTTATTTAAAACATCTTGAAGAAATTAAATCAGGTTCAACCAGCAATTATAAAGTATTATAAAAAATAAACAAATCAAAAATTATGATAAAATAGAATGATATTATAAAGTATAAATTGTTAAAAGTAGCTATTTTCTCTTTAAGAAACATTCTTTAAATATTTATAAACCTTTAAATTATATTTTTTATGGGAAACAATAAAGTTAAGTAAATTCAAACGTATATATAAATGAGTAACTAAGTTAAAAATGCCTAATTTATTTAAAATTAGTGCTTGAATGTTTATTTTGCTTAACATAAAATTACCCATATTTATATATCAGTAATATTTCCTTATTATTTACATAAAAAGTATCTATTTTTATCTGTATTTTTTAATACTATTAAGGATATTAAATAATAATGATTTTTACTCATATTAGACATCTTAATGAAGATTAGCT